CATTTATTCTTAATTAAAATCTTTCTATCAGGAGCCCAAGTTTACTAATAAGGGGTGTAGGTTAGGAGTAACCAGCTTAAGCTCTGTGAGAGCAGAGATCGTGTCTATCCATCTAGCCCTCTATCTGGCATGCTGCCTGGCACCTAGTAGGACTTTAAGTGATGTTTGTTGACCGACTAGATAATATGACTTGTTCAGAGTGGTAAACCTAGTAACTAATGGAAAAGAGTACAAAGGTACTTGATTTTGACAATTTAGTTTGACATGATTATGGCCAGTGGAAGTCCACTTTTTGGTCATGTAGGAGAGAATCAAACTCAGTATATGTCCTTTTATTCATTGATCCTTGATGGAAAGAAATGCACCCTTGGTAGTCAATTGCTTTTCCTTTGTCAAGGATGCTGACTCTGGTGAGACAGTCCTTAACTGTGCAGGAAAGGCTATCAGTGGTTATGTTTTTGAGGAGTCTAACGTTATATGTGGATTTTTGACTGCATGGGGCGTTACTGGCCTTAACTTCTTGTGTTCAAGGTCAACTTTATTGTTTCTGAGAAACCTTTCTTGTTTTTAGTTTGATCCAATAACCTCTAGTCAAAGATGTTCTATTATTGTGTCAGCTTCTGATCTTGGGAGTTATTTTGGTTGAGGAAGGGTCATCAAATTTTGGGAAGCTGACTTCATGACTAAAGAACATTTTTGAGACTTTTGAGTTTTCTTCCTTTCAAAATAATGTTTTTCTCCTGAATAAACTTAACTGAATAAGTCAGCCAATAGTTACTGATAGCTTACTCTGTGTTAGGTCCTATAATGGGTACTGAGGATATAAAGATGGTAAGACAGCTCTTGCTTTCAAGGATAAGAGGGGGAGACGAACTTGTAGGTGGATTACTGTTATACTCAGTGTGTTTAAGACCCTCAGTGGGAGAACATGAAAAGGCTTTTGGATACACAAAAGAAACAGAAACAGGCCGCAGTTGCCTTCCCAGCATTAGCAACTGGAAACTACTGGGAGGTAAAGAGGGGGAAGACCTTGTAGGAGGAGCAAAAACATCTACTGGGTATGAATGGGTGAGAAGGCTCAAGTCACACCAGCAGTAATCTGATACCTCTTTCTCATCATTTTGATTGGCCAATGGCTCGCCAGATTTTAGAACCAGATTTAGCTCTGTATGTATTATTTCTGTCCTTTTCGTATTCAGCAGCTGAAAGAATGCAAGTCCTTGTTGACTTGGATGGCCTCAGGTGGAGAAGCTGAAGCCTTTCTTCTTCCATTCATGGTCCACTGATGTATGATACCTTCCATGGTTGTTCTTGGTCTGGGCTCTGAGATGCGGATTTATCTTTGGCTATTAATCTTTTTTTTTTTTTTCTCTTTTGTGACAGGGTCTCACTTGCTCTGTTGCCCAGGCTGGAGTGCAGTGGAGCAATCATAATTTACTGCAGCCTTGAGCACCTGGGCTCAAGCAGTCTTCCCAACTTACCCTCTGATAGAGCTGGGACTACAAGTGCAAACCACCACAACTGGCTAATTTTTAAATTTTATTTTATGTAGAGACAGGGTCTTGCTATGTTGCCCAGGCTGGTCTCCAACTTGTGGCCTCATGCGATCCTCCCGTCTTGTCCTCCCAAAGCATTGGGATTACAGACGTGAGCTGCTGTGCCCAGCCTGGCTATAAATCTTCAATTGTATTACTAATTCTTCCTTCAATCTCTGATTCTCCAGTTTTCTTTGTGTTTATTTTGTTGTTCAACACATCATTGAGATTATCTCCATTTATTCTAAGAATCTGGTAAAAAGGTTGATGCAAATCTAAGTACAAAAACTGCTGGGCAGAATTATCTACACCTGCTATCAGAAAGTGAGGGAATCCCTGGAGAAGCAGGTGTGCCATCAGACAGTTAACAATCTGATCAAGTCTCAGCTCTTGATCCCCAAATTTAGTTTAGTTTAGCAGACAGAATCCATGACATAATAGACCAATGTTAAGTCTGAGGATGCCAGATAATAATTTGCTCACAATTAGAAGCTAAGGGCAGGTGGTAGCCATTCAGCAACCCTGAAATGGCAAAGTTAGGGAATTGGGTTTTGAAAAGGGTCACCCAAACACTTTCTTTCCAAACATCTGCAGGTTGTTAGCTTGATTTATTTTGAATTAAAAAATCTTTTTGAGCTGGCTGACAGCTTATTTTAATTCCCAGCTGTTAAAATGTTTCAGCAATTGGAATTAGGGGCCGTGCCATTGCTTTTGATGTGGTGGAAGCCAGTTCAGCACTCAGGTACACCTGGGGGACCTGCCCCTTCTCATCATGGCCCTCCATAGTTTTATTTTCTTCTGTTTAAGAGCTTGGTGCTTTGAGCTCTTTGTTTACGATCTAATTACTTGGGTCTTGTAGGACTGGTGGCCAAGGGAGTTTAGCTCATATTCCAGGATGTGGTGGCTTTTATCCAGCACATAGTGCTTTGTGGCTACCTTAGATTCCTTCAGTGACAAGTTGGGGGATAAACAAATACACAAATAAGTGTATATTTAATTAATATTGCCCCCTCCTTTCCCAAAATATGCTGAAGTAAACTTTCTACTCAAAGCTGTGGTTTCTATAAATGTTTTCAAGATTTTTTGTGCGGATTTTTGGCTTGGTAAAGGCCCATTTTCCCTGGTTTGGAACGAGTGCCTCTCTTTTTTGCTGTGATTTTGGATAGGGGATCTGGGGACCCAGTCTCCTCTCCTGATCCCACTTGCCACAAACAGCTGACACCACCACCAGCATCTATCGGTTCTGGCCACTCCTAACTCCCCTAAAATGCTGTCTGATCATTACTATTCCTTTTAATGTCTGATTTCCCCAAGGAATTATCTACACTAGCTACTTTCCATCTGCAGATTCCCTTTATGCCTGGGTTTTTTCAATCCCTCTGAGGCTCACTCTATGCTCTGCTGGACAGTGGGCTCTCAAAGGTCTTGTCTTGTCTTTCTTTCTTTCTAGAGCATGCTTTTATTTAAGTAACATTTTTCTCAATTAGAGAAGTAATATGGCTTGTAATATCAATTTAGAAAACAGAAAAATATAAAGAAAAACCATTCATAATCCTGCTTTCTAAAAATTATTCATAACATTTAGTTTATTTCCAGTTGAACATTTTCTCTGCATATGTGCATATATTCACAAAATTGAGCTCCACAGGATCTGTAGTATTCATTGTTTTTCAGTATCATGAGCACTCAGACCATTGGAGAATCCTCATGAACAAGGCCTTGAGCATTCATGACCTTTTCATTGGATCTCAGTGTTTTTGTTACCTGATTTTTTTGCTTATTGCATGACCTCCATGTATCTGCATTAGGGAAATTATAAAACCAACACCTAGAATATGACATATTGGGACATTAAATATTAAAGATTTATGGCTTTATTAAGTGGGTACTGAGAAATCCAATCCTGTTTTTTAAGCTGTAAAATGAAGGAGCAGATTAATCCAAAGATGAAGAAATGAATGGAAGAGGCCATTTTGAAGACAGTCACAGTAGTCTAGGTGGAGATAGATATTGACAGCATTAATGAGGCCGGGCGCGGTGGCTCACACCTGTAATCCCAGCACTTTGGGAGGCTGAGGTGGGTGGATCATGAGGTCAAGAGATCGAGACCATCCTGGTCAACATGGTGAAACCCCGTCTCTACTAAAAATACAAAAAAATTAGCTGGGCATGGTGGCGCATGCCTATAATTTCAGCTACTCAGGAGGCTGAGGGAGGGGAATTGCCTGAACCCAGGAGGCGGAGGTTGCGGTGAGCCGAGATCGCGCCATTGCACTCCAGCCTGGGTAACAAGAGCGAAACTCTGTCTCAAAAAAAAAAAAAAAAAAAAAAAAAAAAAGAAAGCATTAATGAGAATAATGATATAGATAATTGAATGTAAAGCAGAGTTTGGAGAGGCATTGAAGGAGTCAAATAGGTAAGATCAGGGGAATGATAAAATACCTAGAAGGAAACTGAAGAGAGATGCCTTTCTCTAATTATGTTCTTCATTTTTGACTTTGTATTGCTATTCCTGTTCCCTCTTTTTAGTATCCTTTTTTGACCATCTCTGTTTATTGAAATCTACACTTTAAGTTCTGGGGCACATGTGCAGGACGTGCAAGTTTGTTACAAAGGTAAACGTGTGCCATGGTGGTTTGCTTCACCTATCAACCCATCACCTAGGTATGAAGCCCAGCATACATTAGCGATTTCCCTGATGCTCTCCCTCCCCACGCACTCCCTGCCCCAACAGGCCCCAGTGTGTGTTGTTCTCCTCCGTGTGTCCATATGTTCACATTTGAAATCTATGCTTTTTATCAGGACTCTTCCTTTTCGTGAAATCTTTCTTGATTACCTCAGGCAGATATTATACCTCCAATTTCTTAGAATTCTGTAATACTTTCTGTATCTCAACTTTTGTCTCATTATTTTAGGGGAATGATCTCTTCAGCTGGAGTTGGGTAGACAGTGTGGTTCAGGCTTTAGATGAAGGTGTAGGAATAAGAAAAACTCAAAGAGGTAATTGAAAAGTATAAGATTACATGACCTAATGACCAAGATGAAATTACAAACTCCATTTCATGTGCGGTCTGAATTAAAAATACTTTAACTTGTGACAAAGTTTTTAAGTTAGCTCCTTGGGAGCTTTGTTAAGATAAAATGTATAGAAGGAACTCATCCTTTGGTAAGACAACACGTCATAGTTACCATGTCTCTCAAGGAACTGAAAGGGAGTACTGATTCTTTTTTCTGGAAATTTAAGAAAATTATATTAAACAATTTTTCCTTCCTTCCTTCCTTCCTTCCTTCCTTCCTTCCTTCCTTCCTTCCTTCCTTCCTTCCTTCCTTCCTTCCTTCCTTTCTTCCTTCCTTCCTCCCTCCCTCCCTCCCTCCCTCCCTCCCTCCGTCCCTCCCTCCCTCCCTTCCAACATGGTCTCCCTCTGTCACCCAGACTGCAGTGCAGTGGTGTGATTTCAGCTTACTACAACATGCTCCTCCCAGGTTCCGGCAGTTCTCCTGCCTCAGGCTCCCCGGTAACTGGGATTACAGGTGTGAGTCACCATGCCTGGCTAAATTTTTTTTGTATTTCTAGTAGAGACAGCGTTTTGTTATGTTGTCCATGCTGGTCTGGAAGTCCTGGCCTCAAGTCATCCACCTGCCTTGACCTCCCAAAGTGCTAGGATTACAGGCATGGGTAACCACGCCCAGCCTACTATTGTTTCTTGACAATCTTTCCTGAAGAATTTATCTTTTTGTGGCTGAATATGACTTAATTTGTTTTCTAGAAAGATGCATTTATACATTTATACAAAACATATTGGTTTTCCACTAGGCTTTTCTTTTTCTAAAGACCTTCAAATCTTAAGAGAAATATGACATTGAGTATCAAAGGAATATATTAGAGAAAATAAATTTTCCCTGCCTCCAGCCTTCCATTTTACATTTGGCTAAACTTTGGGAATCATCTTAGAAGAGTCGGGTGGTATTTCGAGTGAGATTCTCCCAGATGCAGTTTAGTTGGGAATGAGTCACATGGGTGCTTTCTTAATGCTATGTGACGACACATCAGCACATGAAGATGACTGAATTTTCTGTTTCCTCTTTCTTTGCATTAGCACATTATTTACTTTGTCTCTTTTTCAGTGATGAGTATCTAGCTTTGTCTTTTCACTTCCTTTCACATTTCAAGGCTGTTTTCACATTCAGAATTGATTAAAAATGCACATTTTTCTGAAAAATGCTACTTTCACCAACACATTCAATGATGCTGTTCAGAGTTCTGGGATGGAGTTTAAGAGGATATATTTTCAATGTCTACCACCGTCACTCACTGTCTCTAGAGGATGTAGGTACAGTTGGGCTGTGGATTATACTTTAAAAAATTCTGGACTAAAGGAGCTGATTGAATGTTATCTTTTATTACAGTATCTCTTCCCCAATTGCCTTGGCTCAGTATGTGCAACCACTAGATTTAGATTTGTAGGTTTCTTCCAACGCATTTATGTTCCCATTCATAGTTTACTATGTATCAATGGAGAGGATTCTCTGAAATTAACCTCCTTTTATCACTTCTAACCTCTTATTCTTGGGTTTTGACCACTTTGCTTACTCAGGGATTCCTCAAATAGCATTTTTAAAAAGTGCTCTAAAGAGTAAATTAAAGAAACACTTTTAATGATATTCAGTTATCTGGTAATGATTTGGACTTAATGATCCTGAAATTCTATAACTCAATAAAATGCATTTATGATGTTATACGTCTATATTTAAATTACCTATGAAGATTTAAATCACAGCAAAACTTCTTTTTCTCAGAGAATGCACAGTGGATGTTGTGAATTTACTTTTCGTTTCTTTCCAGCATTTCTTTTCCCATTTTGTTTGAGATAATTTGTTTTTATAATTTGACATATTATTTTGGTGTTTGCTGCTTAGATATTGCAACTATTATGGGTAAGTGAGCTGGCTATTGACATGGTTTGCCACTTATTATAAATAAGAAAATCAAGACAAGTCAAATTGTGAGAACCTGCTAATGATGAGATTGCAGTTATGGTTGGATATACATCAAGGATAGGGGTAGCTAGCTGCTATTTATTATAACACTGTACCAAGTGTGTTACCTTTGGTAATTTCATTTTTTCTCATTTTATTCTTATGTAATCATGTGAGTATAATCATTCTAGTGTTACAGAGGAGAAAACAGAATCTTGGAGAGTAACCTGCCTTAACCACACCAATGTAAGTAATAGAGGCAGAGCACGAATCCTGGCTTGCTTGACTTCAGAGTCTCTGCTTTCTCCACTATACTATGCTGTTGTGATTCTTAATTCATTTACTGTATGCCAACTCAATCAAAATAGGTTTTGTCCAGTGGAAACTCTTTATATGATACTATATTGGTGGATGCATGTCATTATACATTTGTCCAAACCCGTAGACTATAAAACACCCAGAATGAACCCTATTGCAAACTATAGACCTCAAGTGATAATGATGTGTCAGTGTAGGTTCATCAATTGTAAAAAATATTCTGCTCTGTCCAGGTGTGTGGATAATGGAGGAGGCTATACATGTGTGGGAGCAGGAGCTATGTGGGACCTTTTTGTACCTTCCTCTTAATTTTGGCATATATGTATTTCTTTTTCTTTTCTTTTTGAGACAGGGTCTCACTCTGTTGCCCAGGCTGGAGTGCAGTAGCACAAAATGCAGCAGCAGGATTCTCCCACCCTAGCCTCCTAAGTAGCTGAGACTACAGGTATGCACCTCCATGCCTGGCTAATTTAAATTTTTTTTTTTTTTTTGTAGGGACAAGGTCTTAGAATGTTGCCCAGGCTGGCCTCGAACTCCTCAATAAAGTGATCCTCCCACCTCTGCCTTCCAAAGTGTTAGAATTATAGGCATAAGCCACTGCCCCTGGCCTAAATATATATAATTTTTTTTTTGAGACGGAGTCCTGCTGTGTCATCCAGGTTGGAGTATAGTAGCACCATCTCGGCTCACTACACCCTCTGCCTCCTGGCTTGAAGTAATTCTTGTGCCTCAGCCTCCCAAGTAGCTGGGATTACAGGCAGGTACCACCATGCCTGGCTGATTTTTGTATTTTTAGTAGAGACAGGGTTTCACCATGTTGGTCAGGCTGGTCTTGAATTCCTGACTTCAAGTGATCTGCCTTCCTCTGCCCCCCAAAGTATGGGGATTATAGGTGTAAGCAATCACGCCTGGCCAAAAATATTTTTTTTTTTAAGATTTTGTTCTGATTCTGATGGAGAATGGACTCTTTTCTAAAGTTAACAGCAGTTACTTAACTGGTTAGTGCTAAGTTAGGCATAGCTCATAGTTTTTAAGGTGGCATATATGTGAAAAAAGAGGGGAGGCGGACAAAATCAAGACAGCAGAAGTAGCTGTTTGAGGGATTTTGGAATTCTTGACTGACACTCACTTCCTGGGACAGTCCTGATTTTGCTGCTCTTTCCTCACCTCTTTCTTTTCAAGACTTACGCCCTGCACACTAACCCTAGCTCTAACCCTTCCTGCTGATGGACACCCCATTCACAGGGCGGCAGAGACTAGATGTGAGGAATAGAAAGAAAAGCAGTTGTTCCTTGATTGTTCCTATGAGTTATACATTCAGGCTCTTGGTTGGAGGGCTCCGATGTGAAAGCCTGGCTTCAGATCCACTGAGAAAGTAGCATGACTGAAGTGGTGAACTGGAGATGAAGTGGGGGTGGCCTACCATGAGGACTAATTTGTTCTTTAAGTTTATCTAATGGTTTGCAAGGGTGGAAATATCTCTGGGGAAATGTGATGGATTCTCCTAGGAAACTCACTTCACCAAATAATTCTTTTGAAACTGTTTTCAGAAACGAGACAAGTGGCATGAATCTATTTACAAAGAGAATCACCTCTGTGTCTGTGACCCGAGAGGCATTCCCGTGGTGATACAACTTGGACATTTGTTCAGGGGGCCAGTGCTCATGCTGAGTGATTTTCAAAGCTGTATGAGGGCATTTATCAGGACTTTAACTCTAGGTACTCTTTCCCACGGTGTGAAGACCAAGAGAAGGGATCCTGGGATCTCTTCCCTGGCCCCAGAATGGGAATTCAAGGGGAAAAGGTCACCTATTCTTATCCCACAAAAGAAAACTTATTCATCAGTTGTCAAGCAAAGGAGCTTCAGAGTCCACATGTAGGGAAATTGCTAAGAGCTTATCGGTAGTATCCACCTCCCACCCCAACCTGTGGCCACATGGAGAATGATGGTGGGGGCCCCGGATCTTGTCCTACCGCAGGTGAAAAGCGGGGGTGGGGTGCTTCATTCTGAAGGGCTCCTTTGTTAAAATTCCTTCCAATTCCAGGAAAAACATGCACTCCAAAGCCATTGTCTTTTTTGCTTCTTACTAGGGGACTTCCAGGAGAGAGAGAGAGTGAGAGCGAGAGCGAGAGCGAGAGCGAGAGCGAGAGCGAGAGCGAGAGAGAGAGAGAGAGAGAGAGAGAGAGAGAGAGAGAATGAGAGGAAGAGAGAGGAGAAAAGATGGCAAAACAGCTGCAGTGAATTTAGTCACCTCTCCAATTACTTTTCTTGTTGCAGAAGATTTCACATCTCAGGATTTTCTTTCTTGTCCTCTGGACTGTTGATACACTCAAGATCATAATAACCCTTCCATCACAGGTTAAAGACATGGCGGGGGCCTGGGTTTGGCGGGAAGGGTAGAAAATTCTATTTTAAAGTCCTGTTCCATTGTTTTACCCGCAATTAAAACTTTTTGTGGTCCCCACCCTGTTTATGACAGCAGGGACTGTGAGGCCACCCTGCTGTGAATTCAATCCAGCCTGACCAGCTAGGACAATGATCATATGAATTAATGGGTCTTGATAGACCTCAGTTACCCTCTTCTCCCCTCACTGAGCGCAGCCCAGGCTTCAGTGGCTGCACGTGTGAGCATTTACTCCCACACTCTACTCAAAGCACGTGTTGAATTCATTGCATGTGTGAGCCACACTGCTGCACCTGTGTTCTGGAGCTAGCACAGTAAATGTAGCCATGCACCTTTTTTGGGTGTCAGAGGACCTGAGGCTGCTCCTCTGCCCCAATGAGGGGCTCTTTTTTCTTTCCTCACATCTCTCCTTCTCTGTGAAGTTGGAAGCACGACTTGAACCCAGCCTCTTGGGAGAGGTGAAATGTTTTGCTTTGGAACAGCCGAGGTTTGCTCATGGAAGCGGTGGAGGTGCTGAAGTCACAACCTCATGGTGTGTATGATGCTGGCGTTTCTTAGTAATAAGCCTTGCTGACACATCCCAGGAGAGGAAGTTAGGTTAGGGTAAGGCAAGTGAATGAAATTGTTTAAAGGCTGCCACAGATGAAAAAATTAATTGCACTTTATTTAGGGTTATGATGTCCTCTTTCCTGGGTTAATCCAGAGGCAGTGTGGGATTAGGGCTCCTTAACGTATACCTGGAAGATTTCGTGTCAGAGGAAGGTAGGATGGGGGAATCTGTAGGGTCTGGGCTGTGAGCAAGCATTGAGAGTTGAAATTGAGCCTCACAGGGAAAGCCTTCCTTATCTCCCATAACTGGGAATTATGCTCGTGTCTGAGAAGGAGAGGCCTCCTAGATGCAGGGTTTACTGTACAACTGAAGGACAGCAAGGCTGATGGTCACAGGGATGTAAAAGTGCTTTGCATTCAGCAGTCACTTAATTAGCTATTCAATGACTCAGTTAAACTATTTTGTGATAAACTTTGTTTGATAGGCTGTTGCCCTGCAGTGGTTGGCAAATATGCTCATTTTTGAGGTTCACAGCTGTCTCTCCTTCCTAAGTTTCTACTCAGGCATCACTCAGCTCCTGGTAGGTGTGAGATGTGATGATCACTATAGGGTAGGCAGCTTGGAAGGAAGGATTGGTGAGCAGTCTTTTGCTTTGAGTTACTACTGCATTGTAGGCCAAATTCCTCTAATTTTTTTTTTAATGACAGAATGTAGATAGTGATATTGTTATTTCCTGTGAAGCTAGAATAACCCAGAATACTAAAACCCCTTGGGCAAGGAAAGCAAACACAACTCAAGACAAACCACTTGCACGACAGCCTTCAAACGGTGATTTAGATTTAAAAAGTTAAGGGATCTTGAAGACCACATATTCCTTGGGAAAAGCACATGATCTGGACAGTCCGAAATGCATCATCAGCCCCTTGGAGGAGGTCAGTGACCCATGTTATGTTAGGTATAAAATTCCAGGTTGGTGGTATTTCGTGGTGCAACTCCTGAGGGCTCCTGCATTATAACAATCTTCAAATGGTTTGATCAAGTTGAGAGTGAGAATTAGAGAAACAAAACTGAAGATTGTTTTTTCTCTCTGAGTAATGAGGCTCTTGGAGGAAAAGCTTATTCTATATATGGTTTTTATCTTCATTTCCACTTCCTGATACCCAGATCTGCACAGGGAGATCTTTAACCTGGATAGCAGTGTGCATTTCTAATTCAGCCTCAGGGTAGTCTCCTACTGTGTATATGAGATGTTGAACACAAAAAGAAATCACCTGAGAGTGGAAATTGTGGAGGAGGCTGGGCCAGATGCTTGCCTGAGTGATGAGCTGCAGATACCAGCTCAAGTGGAATACAGTCAAGGGCTGGTACATGACTCCAACATCATTGAATTTCCTTTTTGTCCTGCCAGTGGACATGACAGCTGAGGATAAGGTGGCTGGGAGACCATGAGGGACCAAATGTGACACAAGGCAGGAGTCTTTCGTGGGCTTGCCAGCTGGTTCGTGTTTCCTTATGTGGCAGGAGCTTTCTCTGGTAGGGCAGAAAGACAATGAGATCTCTACACGATTTTATGGATCAGTTTTCACTTTCCCAGATGCAAAGAGAGGAGCCATAATTACCTTGCATATGTTCTGATAGTATCCCTTGGGCAAGTGGAAGGGGTAACTCACAATAGATAAACTCGGCTTTTGCTCCAGAAATGTCTTCTGCATCTGCAACAAGGGGGTGTTGAGTGATGCTACAGGCAGCTGGAAGGGCTCATTTATTTGACCTAATTATTCCCAGTGTAGACCTGACTCATCATAACGGGCTCTTCTTCAAAGGAAATGAGAGCCAGATTGTCTCCTTGGCAGCAATGGAAAACAAATGCTATCCACAGAATGGCTGTTAGATTAAAAAAAGGTGCAACTTGCCTTTGGGGCCAGCTGGTGTTTAATGATGTTACCAAGAATAGAGGACTGGAAAGAGAGTAGTGTCAAATCCTGACATTCTAGCTTTCTAAAAATGTTCTTCATAAAATTAACTTACATTGGATGCCATGAACAAAAGTAACCACATACTCAGAATCCAAGGAAAAATGGAAGCCTTGGGATGTTTTTATTAATAATTGACAAACTCTCTATGGGTACAATGGAGGACTTTTCACACAGAGACCTTATTATTTCTTAATCCCTTTGGATTCTCTATTGAAGGATTAAAATGGTCTTTTTTTCCTAAGGGATGGAGAAATGGAGAAAGAGAGTTGAAATAACTCTCCTATTGCTGTCAAGCAAATCAAACACAGAATGGGGCCAGCATGCCACATTCCCTCTGCAAAGCCTTGGAGTGAAACTGCATTGGCTCAGTGGTGCATTTCCCAACATCGCAACTTCATCTCGGATCATTGCAAATTGTCTATATGGAAACCTGGGTCCAATGAGAATCATCATTTAAATTTTCCCTGCTCCCACTTTTCTGCTTTACAGTGGTAGCTGAGTATGTCCTACCCCTAAGGATATGGGAAAGATGTGTACTTGACTGATTGATCCCTGTGACATAGTCTGACACTTTGCTTTTGTTCAAGAATTCTTGAAGCACTGGGCTGCAATGATGCCCCCTTGATAGCACTGTTCAAAAGTTGACCTGTGTTTGCTGGAACCTCCAAGAACACTGTGTTTGATTTGAGCCGGGATCCTGTCTTGGAGGAGGAGAGGGAATCCCACAAACTACTTGTAAAGAAGATCCCATTGTTCAGTCAAATCCTCTGACACTGTAGCAATCCATGCATGCAGTTGCCGTTGGCATTCTGACACGTGTACATAGTGTTTTCATCTCCTCCCTGGAGTTGGGGCCAAAGCCTGAGGTTCCTTTCGACACCACCCTGAAAAAACTCTGGATTTGTGCTCCCCTCTGCTCTGCAATAACATAACAGCTCTGTGGTGTGGCCAATGTTTACCTAGTTGGTGGGAGGACTTTAATATCAAAAGGAAAACATTTTTTCCGCATTCCACATAGGTAAGATGTGGTTTGCTGTTCTTCAGGGCAGAAGATGTGGGGTGGGGAAGGGATGAAGAAAAGAAAAACATTCCCCCCCATTTTTTTTTTCTGAAATTTTCAGGGCTAAAGTGATGGGTCAGGGTAGGTGAGCAAAGAAACGAATCAAGCAATGGGGGAAGATAAAAGATAAACAGACTTTGTTTTAAAGAGTCACAGCCATGACTGAGCATATGTTTCCTTTGCATTCAGTTCCAAAAATAGATTATTAGTAGTGAGAAGCAACTGGTTTCTGATGCTTATCAGAGATCAGCTAATATCATTTCCAACTGTTGGGGTTAGATATAGGGTAGGCTGTATATCTAACAGAAAGAGATTACTAAGCTTCGTGATACCTTGGATTATATTTCACAAAGCTGTTTTCTGGCCAGATAAAGCAGTTAGCTAAGTAAGAGGAATTTGCCCACGGATAAAAGGGGCTGGTAACTTGTAGTGATCATTGTAGATACTCTCTGTTTTAAACAGTGTGAATCTACTGGCAGTTTATCAGTCATTGTGGAACAGGGTTATGAGTGAGTGAGGGATGAGTGGGAGGGGACACACTGCAGACCAATTGGGTGAAGAAGCGGGTGCAGTTGGGAATGAAAATCAGTGCTCTGCTTTTTCCATAGACCCTACAGATGGCAGCTTGTGGGCTAGAGATTCCCTGAACCTCTAATGCTACCTAGAAACCTGAAGAGGCTGAGGGTGCCCTGTTCTTAGGGAAAGAACAACCTTGCTCTAAGTTGTGTTGTTACATGATGTGTCGGTTTGCTTTAGTTTGTTAGTTTCTCAAGAGTAGAATCTGCCAAGGATATTCCCCAGAATCTGCTCACTTACTAGAGAAACCAAGAGAGTCCTAGCAGCACAGCGGGATCAAGAAGGTTGAGAACAGAACTGGAGGTGAGAATATGGCCACAGGAGGCTCCAGGACTAAAGAAGTGCACTGATTTGACTTATTTTCTGGATGTATGGAGTGCCTTTACTTCTCTTTAAAAAAGGGGCAGTGCTAGTGGTATTGACATTTCTCGAAATGTTCACAAGTCCTTACTATAGACCTCAGGGACTTGCAGTGATCTATGAAGACTGGATATGCTTCAAGTGGAAGGTTGCTAACTTTATTTTGGTTCCTAGGGCTAACATCCCACTTTATGGATTGTCCAAGTTAAACTCTAAACAGCTGTTAGTCCTTTGTACCTCCCCAGAGCTCAGTCTTTCAGTTGACTGCTCATTGCTGAGCCCTGTGCCGTGCACTCTGGGAGTGATACAGGAATTCTCCTCCTTAGGCAGTGATTTGCAGAGGCTGAGTAGGTGAGGGTGTGAAGGTGTGTAAGGGTATGGGCTGATTTTTTTTGTTTTGACCAGGATCTCACTCTGTTCCCCAGGCTGGGGTGCAGTGGCATGATCATGGCTCATGGTGACCTCAAACTCTTGGGCTCAAGTGATCCTCCAACGTCAGCCTCCCAGTAACTAGGACCACAGGTGCATGCCACCACACCAGGATGATTTTTTAATTTTTGTAGAATCAGGGCCTCACTATGTTATCCAGACTGGTCTTAAACTCCTGGCCTCAAGCAGTTCTCCTGCCTTGGCCTCCCAAAGTGCTGGGATTACAGAAGTGAGCCACCATGTCCAGTCTGATTTGTTCCTTTCTAATGTAGCTTTTATTCTGAGGTTGAGGGAAACAATATTGTGCAGTTATTAGTACATTCTATAAATACTTATTTGGCATCTATCCTGTGTCAGTCTGAGATTCAAAGTTTAATAAAAGACAGAGAAGCCATCAAAGAGTTTATCCTTGGTTCACATTTCTGTCCTCTAATGGACTCAGCTTGTCAAGCATAGCATTATTCCTATTTACTTCCCAATCTCTGGCATCTAGCATATACCCTGGCTTATGATTGGTACTCAGCAAGTATGGAAATGCTGTACAACAAGAAGTTTGCATTGATATTTTTCTTTTCTTTTCTCTAACAACTTTGCCTCACACCTAACAACTGGCTGTTTTTTTTTTTCTATCAAAATAGAACATTTCCCCTCTGAGTGGCTTATTTATCACTGTGCCTCTTACAGTTACTGTGAGGAGAAATAACCCTTTCCCTTTTCGGCATGACTGCCTTCCTGTTAGTACAGATTATATCCCATAGAAGCAGAAACTTTTTGTTCTTTTGTTCACTGCTATATCCTCAGCATCAAGAATATACAGGAATTTTAATGATTATTTGTTGAATGAATATATAAAATTGAAATCAGGAAAAAGGTCCTAACTATATGAGTCAGGTTAGGTTAAGCTTCGCTGCGATAACAAACAAACCTGAAAATCTCAGCACCTGAGCATATTAGGTTTAGTTCTCTTTTGCACAAAGTTGACTGTGAGTCCTGTAGCCTTCCAGGTCAGCTCCTCACCCAGTGGCAACTTAAGGATCTTGCCTGATTACATCCTGTAACTACCTAATCCGGAACATGCAGCTTTTGAGTTGCTGTATTATGGGAAGATAGGTACAAAGGTTGCATACTGATTCAAGTGCTTTGATTTGGCAATGATTCATGTTTTTTTCTGTTCAGTCTTTTGCTCATCAAATATGGGTAAGCCTATGAGTATTTGGTGAGCATGCCACACTAAGTATGTTATTCAGTGTTTCCTAAATGGTGCTGTAATTACATGGAAAAGTAACTTGGTGTCCCCTACTCACCGTTGCTACTTCATTGCAGACCAGTCAATTTCCAAATGTCATTTGCCTGAAGTCCATCTTGAGAAGCCAGACACTGCTTAGGCTCTAGCATAAGAGGCTCTCAGTGGCAAGTAACTATGTTATGTCAGGCCGGGATTCAAATTTTAATAAGACATATAGCAGTCATGGAAGAGTTTAAACTATTTAAATTTCTGGCTCCCAACTGAATTAAGCTTGTCAAAGGCAGCATTGACTCAACCAGTGACTCAGAGAGTTGATATGTAATATAAATACCTCAGATTCCTCACTACTCTGGTGAGATAGCCCTGAGGTGCATTTTCTATACTACTTCCCAGAGATGCCATTTGGATTAAACTCCAATTATCCACAGTGGTAACTTCCTTTATTGCCATCTCCCCTTCCCTGTCTCATTTCCCTATTTCCCAACTCTCCTGACCTTGTTTCTTGGAATTCTGTCTAAAATTAACTATTTGCACTTGAGTCCATGTCTTTGGGTCTGTGTATGGGGGAAACCCCAAACTGAAAGAGAAGGTTAGAAGGTTACCTAAATAGTTCTTGGTGTGTGTGTGAGTGTGTGTGTGTGTGTGTGTGTGTGTGAGAGAGAGAGAGAGAGAGAGAGAGAGAGAGAGAGAGCGACAGAGAGAAAGAAAGAGAGAAATTCATACAGATTTGGGAGGGGGCCTTAGGGAGGTCTCTTCCTCCACCATCTGCACTTGTAGAACCACTTAGGTAGCTAGAATGAAAAAAGTGAAGGAATACAAGTGAGGGGAAAGTAGAATCCCTGAGATACCAGAAACATTTTCTATTCTGTGTACTTAAGCACATAAAGTCTGGATCCTACTGTGAAATTATTGGCTACCTGAAGTCTCGGGGAGAGGAATTCCCAAAGGCATTCTAAAGCAAGCACTTCCTGGGCAGCCAACACGAGACCTGTGGTAATTGGAGCCTTGTATTTCTAAGCACTTCTCAGTGGGATTCCAGAAGGGGTGTAATTGGACAGGTTGACAAGATGCTATGGCTCCTCATAATTGCAACACAAGGTCCAGAGTCCAGGCTGGGCATGGTACTGACGGAGTAAAGCCTGTGGTTAATGGTCTTCCACCTCTCCTTTTAGTGACCTCTACTTTTTTTTTGGTGATCTCCTATTCACCAAGGGTCATGTAATGGTAAAGTGTCCTTATAATTTATCATCTAAACCAGGGCACTTAAAAAAATTACCTTCCCAGTATTCCAATGAGAAAAACCAAGAAGTCATACAGGGGCTCCAGAGGCCAGTAAGTGGCGGTGCCAGTATTTAAAGTAAGATTTGGGTGCTTTCTTACTGCACCACCCATGTTCAGTGTTGACACTGACCAGGCGCTTCCTGGCAGGAGAATGGGACTGGGGTACAGGTGAAGAACATGCAAGATTGTTGCATAGGTATATACATGGCAATGTGGTTTGCTGCCTTCCTCCCCATCACCTATATCTGGCATTTCTCCCCATGCTATCCTTCCCCAGTTCCCCACCGCACTCTGTCCCTCCCCCAGTTCCCCCCTACAGGCCCCCAATGTGTGATGCTCCCCTCCCTGTGTCTATATGTTCTCATTGTTCAAAACCCGCCTATGAATGAGAACATGCGGTGTTTGATTTTCTGTTGTTGTGTCAGTTTCCTGAGAGTGATGGTTTCCAGGTTCATCGATGTCCCTACAAAGGACGTGAACTCATCATTTTTTATGGCTGCATAGTATTCCATTGTGTATATGTGCCACATTTTCCCTGTCCAGTCTAGCATCGATGGGCATTTGGGTTGGTTCTAAGTCTTTTTTATTGTAAACAGTGCTGCAATAAACATATGTGTACATGTGTCTTTATAATAGAACGATTTAGAATCCTTTGGATATATACCCAGTAATGGGATTGCTGGGTCAAATGGAATTTCTGTTTCTAGGTCCTTGAGGAATCGCCACACTGTCTTCCACGATGGTTGAACTAATTTACACTTCCACCAGCAGTGTAAAAGTGTTCCTGTTTCTCCACATCCTCTCCTGCATCTGTTGTCTCCAGAGTTTTTGATGATCACCATTCTAACTGGCGTGAGATGGTATCTCTATGTAGTTTTGAATTGCATTTCTCTAATGACCAGTGATGATGAGCATTTTTTCATATGTTTGTTGGCCTCATATATGTCTTCCTTTGTAAAGTGTCTGTTCATATCCTTTGCCCACTTTTTTTTTTTTTCTTGTAAATCTGTTTTAGTTCTTTGTATGTTCTGGATATTAGCCCTTTGTCAGATGGGTAAACTGCAAAAATTTTTCCCATTCCGTTTGTTGCCGATTCACTCTAATGACTGTTTCTTTTGCTGTGCAGAAGCTGTGGAGATTAATTAGGTCCTATTTGTCTATTTTGGCTTTTGTTGCCAATGCTTTTGGTGTTTTAGTCATGAAGTCCTTGCCTATGCCTATGTCTTGAATGGTTTTGCCAAGGTTTTCTTCTGGGGTTTTTATGGTGTTAGGTCTTATGTTTAAGTGTTTAATCCATCTGGAGTTAATTTTAGTGTAAGGTGTCAGGAAGGGGTCCAGTTTCTGCTTTCTGCACATAGCCAGTTTTCCCAACATCATTTATTGAACGGGGAACCCTTTCCCCATTGCTTGTTTTTGTCAGGTTTGTCAAAGATCAGATGGTTGTACATGTGTGGCATTGCCTCCTAGGCCTCTGTTCTGTTCGATTGGTCTATATCTCTGTTTTGGTACCAGTACAATGCTTTTTTGATTACTGTAGCCTTGTAGTATTGTTTGAAGTCTGGTAGTGTGATGCCTCCAGCTTTGTTCTTTTTGCTTAGAATTGACTTGGCTATGTGGACTCTCTTTTGATTCCATATGAAGTTTAAGGTGGGTCTTGCTCTGTAACCCAGACTGGAGTGCAGTGGTATGTGGGCATGAGCATAGTTCACTGCAACCTAGAAATCCCAGATTCAAGCAATCCTTCTGCCTGAGCCTCCCAAATACCTAGGACTATATGTGAGTGCCACTATTTACAGCTAATTAAAAAACTTTTTTTTTAGAGATGAGGTCTTGCTATGTTGCCCAGGCTGGTTTTGAACTCCTGGCATCAAGTGATCCTCCCACCTTGGCCTCCCAAAGCCCTGGGATTACAGGTATGAGGCATAGCACCTAGTCCCAGCACCTTTTGTTGAAAGGATTATTCTTTCTCTGCTCGATAGCTTTTACAATTTTGTCAAAAGTCAGTTGTCCACATGTGCTTGGGTCTACTTCTGCACTTGCCATTCTGTTCCATTGATTATTTTGGTTTGTTTCCATCAATAGGACACTGTGCTGATTGCTATAGGTTTATAATAAATCTGAACCAAGATAGTTTCAGTCTTCCAATTTTGTTTCATTTCAAAGTTGCTTCAGGTCTTGATTCTTTACATAGTCATATGAATTTTAGAGTCAGTTTAATAGTTTCTACAGAAGAACCTATTGGGATTTTGATAGGCATTTTGTTGATTCTGTAGATGAATTTGGAGAGAGTTGCCATCTTGAACCTGTGAACATGCAACTGGAGCACCTTTGAGAATGAAGGAGGACAGTATGAGTACACCAGGGCGGTTCTGGGTGGATTGGGAATTACGTTCATCCTACCTGGTGCCCTCTTGTCACTGCCTGTGATGACATCTCACTGGTGGCATGGTTCCCAGAACTCTCATTTACTCCTGTTGACCTCAAAATTTATTATGTTTCCAGTGATTTTAAGTATATTCCTGGCACAAATATATCAATAAATAAAACCTTAAAATCACAGTATCCCAAGGGACATTTTCCTTGCATGACAAAAGTGACAGTGGATTAGCCTGATAAGTCAATCCCTAGTAAGAATTATGTAGCCTATGTATTATTCTCTTACTCCTTCTTTCCACTCTCCAGTGCATCCAACACATATTCGTAGAGCACGTGTGTACTGGATATGATGCTTGGTAATATTCTTTAACTTTTAAAAATGAACTTTGAAGGCAGGTTAGTGGGAAGGGCTTTAGATTATCTTTAAACATTAATCTTTCCAAATTAAATAACAGATGTGAAATGCCCAGTACTGTTTCTGATTCATACAAACCCCCCTACAAATTCCCCTCCCTAGGAGCAAGCACATCAGACTCCTGGACAGTCTCTGCAGCCAGCCAGGAAGGTCTTTCCTGGGGAGGGAGAGAAGGATGTAAACCCTGATCTTCCTATATTTGGGGTCGATCAAAACCAAAACTCATATAAAGTTGGCAAAAGAAAACTCAAAATATATTGTGGCAAAAAATCTGGATGAGTTCTTCTTGGTGTCACTGCCAGCAATCTTGCAAGATACTTTGGGACATGACCTTCATCATTCTTTGCTGTCATACAATCAAGGGTCAGGGCTTGGGTGGAACAAGGAAGAAGGTGGTAACTTTGAAGCCCTTGCCATTCTTGTGGGCAGGAAGTATCAAGAATGTTATCCAAAAATTCTCTCTGCTGAATTTTGAATTACCGTGACTTCATGTGTGTGTCGTCTATACTATGCTCCTTGGGATGCTCTGAATCCATTCAGGTGGTCAAGATGATAAGCTCAGCTGGTTAGGCTATGGGGCTAAGGAAATCAAGCTCACAGCTGCAGTCTCTATATGAGCACAGTTAACTCGGCACACAAAGTAATCTGTCCAAGTCCTCAGATTGCCTCACTAACCCCCACCAGCTGGCTTGAAAGTACGTGCCATGCAGGGCCTGGAATATGGATGGCTAAATCACAGGCTCATCCCCAGTCCTGGCGAAATCCCCATGGAGGAGGCCCTCCAGACGTTAGAAACTGCTTGTTAGATTCTGGAACTGTTCATTAATCTGGCAGCACTTCACTTCAAGGCCTGGTGTTTATCTTGAAGTAATTTATGAGCGACAGAGGATTTTGCATTGTTTTAAAAATTGGATGTTGATAGTGTACCAGCCTACTTGATAAATGTCTGCTGGAATGTAGAGTCCACTCAATGGGACTTGAGGGAGGAGACCATGGGCCAGCCAGTGGGGGCTTCAGAGGTTTAGTTATTCATTTAGAAACTTCTGCTGAGTGCTTTCCATGAGCCAGGCACAGTTTACATGCTGGGAATTTAAGTTTTCGTTATTTCCACCAATGTTTTGTTGCCTGTTCCATGCTAGGCATTGTGCTGGACCCTAAAGCCTCAGCGGAGAATGAGGCACGCTCATGTCTTCAAGGAGACCTGAGCATGGGGCAGGTCATATTTATTTTGTGCGATGGACTTTTTTGGCAGCCTGTTGAAACCTGTGGAAGCCTTCTCAGAACAATTTCAGAGGCATACAGTAAAGCACATGAGATTATAAAGGAAGCCAGTGGTAATACAGTACAGTTGTCAAAACATTAAACAAATACATCAGTGCTAAGTGCTAACTATTGAACATGTAAACCATGGTTCATGGCTGTTCATTGCCTCCTTCTGAAGGATACTGCCACAATCTCAGCTCCTGCTGCTGGGGTGGTCCTCGCCTCGTGTCTCTATACACCCAGACACAGCTGAGTAAAGACAGGGAAGCACTAACCTGATGCTACTGTTCCTAAGCAACGGAGATGCTATCACCAGTCAGAAAGAGCTGCCTCATCAGAGCATCACTCTGAGGCAGTGTAGTTGGAAAGCAGAAAAAATTTTGGCACTGGAAGGGAACTGAAGATGAAGAAATACGGAAAGTGGACCCACGTAGAGCTGCAAGTCATGATGTGTCTGAGCAAAGTAAGGCTACAAGGAAGCTAAACCAGTGAACAGGCAGAAGCTACTGAAACAGGCAGAAGCAAGTGATTCAGTGACTTGTAGTGGGAGAGAGGTAGACTAACATGAAGAGAAGCAGAAAAACAGAATAGCAAGGTGGCAGAGTGGTGAAGGGCAGAGCCTTAGAGAATTCAGAAATCTTTCTTCTGAAATCCCTTGAATTGCTTTGGATTCAGAAGAATCATTTATTTATTTATTTTATTTTTGAGATGGGGTCTTGCTCTGTTGCCCAAGCTGGAGTGCACTGGTGCTATCATGGCTATGCAGCCTCCACTTTTTAGGCTCAAGAGATCCTCCCACCTCTGCCTCCTGAGTAGCTGGAACACAGTTGTACACCACCACACCTGGCTAATTTAATTGTTTTTTTATAGAGATAAGAGTCTCCCTATGTTGCTCAGGCTAGTCTCAAACTCCTGGGCTCAAGGGGTCCTCCTGCCTCAGCCTCCGAAAGTGTTGGGATTACAGGCATGAGCCACCAAGAACAACCAATTCAGTTTTTCCTAGGGAGCCTGGTCGTTTGTGTGTGTGTGTGTGTTTTTTTTTTTGAATTGCACTGAAGACTAGTTTCCTGGCTGACATTCCCATTTCCTTTATTACCATGCAGATTCTTATAATAATCTTTCATTTCCTGAGGCAACTAGAGTGGATCTCTGTTTCTTGTGATCAAAAGAGTCAAATCCAAACATGGCAGGGTAGGGGTGAGGACAGTGAGGCCATCCTACTCCACCTCCAGCAGCGGGTGTGGACAGGGACTGCTTCCCAGCTCCCTTCTAAATTGATTTTGGATTTGTTAGAAGTTACCCAGTTAGTTCAAAATTTTGGCAAAATATGTCATGGTTTATTAAAATACTGCTTCTTTTTCATGTTGTTGACATTTTAATTTCATTACACTGTGGTATTTAGGGTAAAAGCTTTATTTGGTATTTTAGGAGAAGGGTATGGTGAAAGAGAAAAGTCGTATCTTTAAAAAATTCAGGGTAATTAAAAGTGATATTGAAGTGGCCCTGCTGTCTGGGGTAAATTTGCAAGGTTCATTGCCTCATGCCAAGGAATTCAAGGACACCGACACGTGGAGTGAGGTTAAGAGCGGAGGTTTAATAGACAAAAGAAAGAGAAAGGAGAACAGCTTTTTCTCCTGGGAAAGAAAGAGGCACCCCAGTGGGACTTCCAGCCCATGGCAGATTACACAGGGTTTTATAGACAGGCTTGAGGAGGTAGTGTCTGACTTACATAGGGCCCAAAGATTGGCTGGACTAGACGTGACGTTTATGTAGCCCAGGGTCAGGGTAGGAGGGTTGGGGGAAGTGTTGAAGCTAGCCACCCCGCCAAAATCTGATTATGCTAATGGAGTCTTTGCCTGGCCTGGGCCATGCTGTCTACTCCTGACTGTACATGTAGTTGGCAAAGAGAAGGGAAGATGGAGCCACCATGTTGGACATGTCTGTCTCCATGTAGCTCCTTTCCTGTTGGCACAACTGCCAGAATTCACTGGTACGAGCTTCTAGCCTGCCTTTCTATGTCTGCAGCTCGATTTTAGAGGCTGCTGTTTCTTAGAAAAGAAAATGATTTGGGGGCTGCCTTTCATTAAAAGGAAAACCTTACCAAGGACTCTTGTATCCTCACTATCTGCCTAAATAATTTCTTTTTAACTCCTATATAAACATTTAATAATGAAATCTTATTCACGCCTTGTTCATCTGGTAATGGATAATAAGATAAGAAGAGCCGATAATGACATCTAAAATGTTGCATATGGATCACTTAGACTAGAAAGTATTGCCCATCCTATGTATGAAGGAAGAGGGTATTAGAAGCAGCAGGGACTCATTTATTTATCTATTGAGTAGCTACTATGTTTTCAGGCAAAAGCCAGACAGATATTCCCCCAAGGAGCTTACATTAATAAACAGGCAGTACATTTTTTAAAAAGCTAATAGATGAGATGTGCTAAGAAAGCTATAAAGAGGGATATAGGAGAAGAGCATAGGAGGAAGAGGAAGAGCCATATGAGTGAGCCAGGTGGTGAGTACCATTGGCTTAATAGCAATTTATGGAATGCTCGCAATGGACCAGGCTCTGTGCCAGTGCCAGCAATACAGCAGCGGACAAAATAGGCAAAAATCTTTGTCTTCATGGTGGTTATCCTCTAGAGTGAACCAGGTCCTATTGTGCCTGTAAATCATAACGAAGGGTTGGGACTTTTGTCTGAAGGTGATAGGGTGCCTTTGAAGTGCTCAAAGCTGGGAAGTGACACAATCAGATTTGCATTTTAGAAATACCAGCTTTGAGGTCAGTGCGGAGATGGCTGGGACAGGGTGGTCTAGAAGCAAGGAGACTGCTCAGAAGCAGGTGAAAGAAAGAAGATGCTGTTCATTATGTAGACAGTAAATTAGGCTGGAAGTGAAAACAGTCATTCTGGAGATACTAAGAAAGTACAGTGGACAAGGTCAGATCATGGACAGGCAAAATATCTAGACGGATACAGAAGTATACTGTCAGGTGTCTGACTTCAAATACTGGGTGGATATTGTTGCCATATGTTTTGTTGGCATTGCAGGCGGAAGAACAAATTTTTGGAGAAAAATTAAATTGTATCATTCTTTTCCTTGATGCAGTTTATTCTTTATTGAGGAGACAAATGAGCAAATAAAACCATTTCGTCAGCCAATGTACTAGTCAGGGTAAGTTAAATTTTGCTGTGCAAATAACCAACCATCAGAATAGCAGCTTAACACAACAAAGATTTATTTTTCTCTTATGCTACATATCTAAAGCAGACAGGGTTGAGTGGGGGTCTCTTTCACCTTGTAGTCACTGGACCAAAGCCTATTAATATATGTTCCATCTTGACACACACATCCACTGAGACATAGTTAAAAAAAGAAAGAGAAGTAGCGAATTGCACACTAGCTCTGAAATCTTCTGTCTGGAAATGGTTTGAATCACTTCTGCTCACATTTCATTGGCCAAAGCAAGTCATAAGGTTATACCTAATTTCTAAAGAGTGAGGAAGTGCTGTCATTCTGTGTACTGAAAGGAGGAAGACTGTTTGTTCTTGTTATTGCAGTCTATTACTGGTGCACAATTTCAGTTTGTCCTTCATTTACAATAGTCATTTTGATAGCTTGGTTAAAGTGGTATCTGCTAGACTTCCTCACTGTAAGGTTATGTTCCCCTTTGTAATAATAAATACATTGTATAGAGTTACTTTGAAACCATGTAAACTTACCATTTCTTATCAAACTTTTAATTAATATGTGAAGAGACTCATGATTTCTGTTTAATTAATACCCAAACAGACTCATGGCTATAATTTCTAGTCTACTAAGTGATCCATACGCAACCTCAGATTTTAAAGGTCATGGTTGCCATTGAATACTCGTGGTATTTTCATAGTTTCCATTGAGTATTCATATTCAATGCTCATATTCAGTGGAATACCATGAAAATATGGAATACCATGGAAATACTCAGTTTCCATTGAGTATTCAATGGAATACCCTCAAAATACGGAATACTATGAGTATTCATTGGATTATTATTGTCATTATTTATTGATGCTCAAATTGTCCCAGACTTGATTTAGTCAGTGGGAGCCTTTCTGTCTGGCTTCTATGTCTTTTGGTCCTGGCCCTCTATTCTTTGAGTACTTCCTTGCTCTAGAATGAGCTTATACTTTTCTTGCTCCAGCTCTGGCTTGGGTCCAGCCCTTTCTCCAAGCAGCCCTGATTGTTTAAGGTGGAGAATGGTATTAGAAGAGAAGATTGGCTTGCTTGGTGTGCTGCTTGCTATTGGGGTTATGCTGCTCCCATGCCCTTTCAGGGGACAGAGCTATAGGATAGATGCATGTATGGACACATACACAGACATTCAGATTTACATCTATACTTGTATCTACCTTTATGTTTTGTGTATATTTCAAACCATAAACTCACATTGATGCCTCATATTCCAATTCAAAACCACAGAGTATATTTTGATTTTTTCTCTCTCTCACTCTTTCTCTTTTTTTTCCTATTTACAAATCCTTTCTTTTCCATTGAGACCGTTGGTCCTCATATTCTAACTTGTTTCATAAGCCTCCCCTTTACTCCCTTACCCTGTGTAACTAAACTCTCACGGTTGCTGCTGTCCCCTCTTTCGCATCAGAGCCCTCCTCCCACACTGGCTTCTCCCCTCAGGTAGGTACTCTCCTCATTCTTCCTGGACTCTGACATCCCAGACCAGGCCCCCTCTCTTATCTGCACCTTCCCATTCTGATGTCCCCTTAGGTAGAAGCTCCTCACTTTTCTTGGGCTCTGTATCCTACTAGGTATCTGTTTGCAGTCCATTTCTACAGGGAATGTGTAAACCTGAGGATGGGTTGCTGCCAAATGAGAGTTAGAAACTTAAGTTTTCTGATTCCCAGTTTTTTTCTCTCTCTCAGTTTCCTGGCATCAATACCAATTAATGGAATCCATAGAGGCTTGCTGTGGTTCTCTTTCTCAGTTTTAGTCCCCAAACGGATTTATTTTGGAAAGCAAATATAAGTCCATTTACTCATTTCAGAGTTATCTAAAAGTGAAAAATGCTATTATTTCAGCAGTTCAGAAATTCTTTAAATGCTTTTTTGCCTTTGAATTTCTCAAAAGCAACTTTGTTTGGAAATTTTAAACTTGGCATTGCTGGTACCTAACCCTGAGTGAGGAATGTGTGCTTTGCCTTGTCTGAAGAAATTTGGTTTTGAAATAACAAAGTTATGGATGTTTAAAAATATTGCATGGAACAGACACTGTGGGTTATTTTCCTCTGGCTTTGAAACATACTGTATATTGTGAAGCTGGTAACTTTCATGGGTGGAGGAGTTTAATAGCATATACTTAACTGATGCAAATATGAGATCATTTTATAAGCCACATGGGGATCTAGTTGAGGCATCTTTTCAATTTTTACTCAGTAAATTCACTTGATCTCTGAATAACTTAGAATCCTGGGGCATAGTGCCTGTGTACATATCACATGCTCAGTAATTGTTGAGCTGATGTGAATTGAACATGCTTGTTCTCATTTGGCTACACATTTCGCCTCCAGCTCCAAGTGGCTAACTATGGTCTGGGAGAGAGGTTGACAAATTACAGTCCATGGGCCAAATCCAGCCTGCCACTGTTTTTTTTTTTTTTTTTTTTTAAATGGCCTGCAGGCTGAGAATGGTTTTCACATTTTTAAGTTGTTGAATAAAAATGAAAAGAAGACTAACATACTATGATGTATGAAAATTATGTGAAATTCAAATTTCAGCATCCATAAAAGATGTTTTGTCAGAACACAGCCATGCTCATTCATTTATGTATTATCTAAGACTGCTTTCATACTACAACAGCAGAGAAGAGTAGTTATAACAGAGACTGAATGACCTGTCAAGCTTCAAGTATTTACTATCTGGCCCTTTACAGAAAGAGTTTGCTGACCCATAATCTAAGAGACAGAACAAACATTTTCAGTTCCTTTTTAAGATTTCCTGCTATAAAATTTAAGGAAGAGCCTTTTTGGGGGGGGGGGTGAGGGGAGCTTAGTAGATTTACTGTATTGTGCAACATGTGCAATTTTCTACTGTATTCATTGTGTACTATATACACTAGCACTAATAACAGATCATTTCTATAATCCTAAAAAGAAATGCAATACGTATTAACAGTCAGTCCCAGTGCTCTCTTCCTTCATATTCTCTAATCTACTTCCTGTCTATATGAATTCACCTACTCTAGATTCATATAAATATATATACAATATAATTATTTCATATAAAAATTTCATTAAAATGTTCATACAGGCCGGGCGCTGTGGCTTAAGCCTGTAATCCCAGCACTTTGGGAGGCCGAGGTGGGTGGATCACAAGGTCAAGAGATTGAGACTATCCTGGTCAACATGGTGAAACCCCGTCTCTACTAAAAATACAAAAAAATTAGCTGGGCATGGTGGCGGGTGCCTGTAATCCCAGCTACTCAGGAGGCTGAGGCAGGAGAATTGCCTGAACCCAGGAGGCGGAGGTTGTGGTGAGCAGAGATCGCGCCATTGCACTCCAGCCTGGGTAACAAGAGCAAAACTCCGCCTAAAAAAAAAAAATGTTCATACGGTATGTAGACTTTTGTGTCTAGTTTTTTTCAAAGTTCATCCATGTTCTCATATATAGTAGTACTTCATTCCTTTTTTACAAGGCTTTTTTTTTTTACTTTCTGCTTTCATACTTCTGGCCTGCCTCCTCTTTGACATTTGCTTGAATTCCAACCTAATACCAGTAACAGAAAATATTGTGGTAAGAACAGAAGTGTAAAGTGTGAATTCAAATATAAATCATTTTTTAAAATTCTTTCCATTTTGTTAATTATACTATTTCAACATTAAATGACTAATAAGCATATTATAAGTGGAGAATTTTGGATGATAACATCTGTTTTATACATCTCCAGGTTTATGTCTAATTGGTGCATTTGTTTTTCTTTCTCAAGATCTTTATAAGCTCCAGAAAGATAGCTTCTTTTGGATTTCATATGCATAGTGTATTAGTTCATTCTCATGCTGCTATGAAGAAATACCTGAGACTGGGTAATTTTTAAAGGAAAGTGGTTTAATTGGCTCACAGTTCTGCAGGGCTGGGGAGACCTTAGGAAACTTACAATCATGGCTGAAGGTAAAGCAAACATATCCTTCTTCAGATGGTGGCAGCAAAGAGAAGTGAGGAACTAAAGGGGGAAAAGCACCTTATAAAACCATCAGATCTCATGAGTACTCACTCACTATCAAGAGAACAGCATGAGGATAACTGCCCCCATGATTAAATTATCTCCCACCATGTCCCTCCCATGACATGTGGGGATTGTGGGAACTACAATTCAAGGTGGGATTTGACACAGAGCGAAACCATATCGCATAGTGTAGGGCACAGGACTTAGAATCACAAGTGTCTGATGGTACTCTTTCTGCATCTGCATCCCTGAGCGTTATTGGACATATTCATACATTTGTAATAATGACAAATCTCAATTGGATACTCCACCCTGCCTGATTATCCTGCAGACATCTCTAGTAAGTTCACTTTCTCATTCTCATCCTGAGTTGGTTGCCTCATCCCACACTTCACAGAGAACATGGAAAGAGCAGGATGAGAGGTCCATAATTATGCCTTGTGTACCTGCATGTGTATCTAGATGATGATACAGATCATCACCTAACAATGGGTCTCTTCACCAAAGGTAATATTCCTTTTATTTCTCTCCTGGATCACATTGCTCCTTGCCTTCTAAAGGACTTGGCTCCTCATTTACCATTTCCTTGTTTTCACTACCAGTTTTCCTCCTCTTCTGCATCATTCCAATCAGCATGAGCTAGTTTTAATAAGATCCGTGTTTTAAATGCCTGCTCTTCCCAAGCACTTTTCTTTAATTACTGCCTCATGTCTTTGCTGCTTTTAAGAGACCTGCTAAAACTGTTGTCTGTGTACTTGTTATCTTCACTTTCTCATGTCCTATTCTATTCTCCATCTATTCTAAACAGATTCTGTTTACCACCACTCATGACACTTGTTAAGGTCCCTCGAGACTCCATTTGACCAAATCTATCTGATTACGTTTTTTCCTTACTTTGCCTACCAATCACACACACTGCATTTTTCACTTTACTTTTAAAACACTTTCTTCTCTGGTATTCTTGGATACCACACTCGTCCAGTTTTCTTCTGACATCATTGCTGACTTTTTCTTCTTTGACAAGTCTTTGCAAGGATTGAACATCCCAGTCAGAAAATAAAAAATCTGAAATGCTTTAAAATGTGAAATTTTTGAGCACGGATATGATGCTCAAAGGAAATGCTCATTGGAGTATTTTGGATATAATGCATATATTCTCAAATCCCCTGAAAATTGAAATCCAAAATACTTCTAGTCCCAAACATTTTGTATATGGGATACTCAACTTCTACCTGGTCTCTGCTTTCTCCACAATAGGTGCAACAGTACTTGGCATAGAGTTGGTCTTGAAGATGACTTATGGAATGAATGAGCTCACCAACCTTGTTCCCATGTTAACATCTTTGTATTTGCGGCTTCGCTTGGAAGACTTCCCCACCAAGCCTCTACTTGGCTTCCTCATTGTCATTGTTCAGCTTTCAATTTGAGTCACTTTGGAGCAGGCTATCCCTGCTAGCCTTCTGCTTCCCATTCCCACCCCCGTGACTGTCTAGGACGGAAGTGGGCAAACCTTTTCTTTACAAAATCGGATAGTAAATATTTATGGCTTCTCAGTCCATCCAGCATTTGTCAGGACAACCTAACTTTGTCATTGTAGTGTGAAAGCAGCTGTTGATACTTCCTAAATGGGTGAGTATGGCTATATTCCAATAAAACTTTATTTACAGACACTGAAATTTTCTACATGTCATGTAGTATTAATCTTCATGAAGAGACCCATTGTTAGGTGATGATTTTCTTGATTTTTTTTCAATCATTTAAAATGTTTCTTTGTGAGCTTCACCAAAATAGGCAGTGGACTGGATTTGACCCAGAGACTGTGGTTTGCTAACTCCTGCTCTAGTGCGTTCCCTCTTCTATCTTCATTATTAGAAAATTATGTTATTTATTCATTTGCTGTTGTAATTTGTTTTCCCTTTCTTAGAACATGGTCACGTTGAAAGCAGGAATTCTTCCTTATTTACTATTCTATCCTCAGAGCCTCCAAAACTGCCTGGATGCCTCCTGCCCAGGCTAGAGCTACACCTGCCAGACCTTGCCCCTCCCCGTAGCCCTTTCTCTTCTAAGGCTTATTTTCTTTCCTCTTCTATATTGATAGCTTCCCTCTTAGCAATTCAGGGTTCATCTCAGGAGAGGGAGTCAGTAAATTTGGCATCTGATTGGACCAGGAACTGCAGATTTGAGTGTGGAGAGGCCCACTTATCTGGATTATAGCTGAATCCCAGCATCTAACTGTTTTGATTACATCCTGTTTATCCCAGTGGTAAAGGAGGGATCCCCCTCCACATAGGGTGAGATAGTCATGCATGAGACATTTGACACTGGGCAGATTAGTGTGATGGCAGTTTAATAGTCACATACATTCCCTCTGGAGGTGGAGGACACCGCCTGCTATGCGGGGCCAATGGGGTTGCACTTGGGAAGAATGAGCTGGCAGGGACTGGGAGGCAGGCTTCGTAGTATCAACAGGGTGAGGTGACTTGGTTAGCAAGTGAGCATGTGATTGGCTTTGTTGAGTAATTCATGGGATGTTAGTGACATCAAATCCACGAAGTTGAAAACTGGATAGGGTAAAGATGATTGGGCTGGTGGGGAACCAGCAGAGTGGGGTTCCTTTCCTGCTGGGTTGGGTATATCTGGTGAGGGCAAGAAAACTCATGGGTAGGTCTTTTGGGACCTGGCTCAGACCTAAAATGTAGAGTGCCACCTTGACATCTTTGAGCCAAGATGTCAAGGTGGCACTCTACATTTTAGGTCTGATATACTAGCACCAAGCTTGGAGCAATAAATATTTATTGAATGAGCGAAGGATTTTTTTTTTTATATTTTATTTTTAGAATTTATTGAAGGATTTTACTTAACCTTTATTCGTATCTGTATGTACCAGCTCCATACTTGCTAATGAGGACAAAAAGGGGATTGAGATGCAATCACATTTACATGATAGGGCTCTGACAGTTATAACAGAGAGTGATAAATGTTCTAATGAATTCAGGTCCCAGGATTTGTCAGAATGCTGATGATAAGTCAATGTATGGGTAGGATGGGAACAAAAAGAGGGAGTTGAACTGAATCAGTTCCACATTTTTGTTCTCATCCATTCATCCAGTATTTATTTAGAGTCTATCATGGGCCAAGCTAGGCAACTAAGCTTTTGTTTTTAACCAAACCCAGGAGACAAGCCACAATCGTTGAACACAGAAGAAGAATTGGAATTAGCATATGAACAAGAGTACACTAATGTGGTCTAAATAGTCTTCCTGAGAACTGTAGGAATGTGGGCAGCACATGTTCTCATGTGAGTGTGGCAAGTCAGGGACACCTTGGAGGGGCGTTTGGAGTTCAAGGCAGTGATGGACATGGATTGGCAGGAAGGAGAGGTAAGGCAATCCAGGCATGAGTCATTCTATGGTTGATTTCCTTGCTAAATAGATTCTTTCACAGGGAAGAGTCATCTCTCGTCCAACTACTTTCCTCTGTTAGATTTGCACAGCCATAGACCACACTGTGTCTTTGTTTATGGGGATTATAAGGCTGTGTTTGCAGCTGAATTTTAGTCAGGCAGAACCTCTCAGCATCCAGAGCCTGGTCTTCAACATAAAATGTGGGCAGGAAATGGGAACCATAACCTCCTGGCTCTCCTGAATCAACTTATTTTGATAAGACTCTCTAGTCCTCATTTCGCTCTTTGTGTGCTGGAAATTTGTATCTGTATTAATTTGTCACATATTTATTGAGTGAAGGCTTTGTGCAAGGCAAAGGGCCTCGGTCTGGGTAAAACAACAATAACAACAACAAACAGATCCCTGTTTTTGACAAACTTGCAAGGTAACAGGGAGAAATAGCAACAATAACAAGATAGCAAATAAAATTCTGTGTAAATAAAGTATAAAATACTGAATCTCAAACCCAGAAAACTATGGGGCTGAGTTTTGATTCAGCCTTCTATTTGCTGTTAGACCTTAGAAAGTAGCTTAATCTGTTTCTTGGCTCCTTTCTAAAATGGGAATAATAGTTCAACCACTTCATAATGTTAGTGTGAGGATGAAGTTGTGTAATATTAAATATTGTTAGGGGAGAGTATGCACATAGTGGTCAATAAATGTTAGCCCTTATTATTATTGTTATTATAATTATCATTGTGACAAAGACATGTTTGGTATGCAGTGTGTATACACAGGGTGGATAACTAATAGGGAGGAAAGGATTCATGAAAGTTTTTCCATAACTGATGGCACATGAATTGAATCTGGGAAGAAGTATAATGACCATTGTTAAAATGTATTGAGTGCTTATGAGAGGCCGGGGATTGTTCTGAGAACGTAACACGGATAATCTCTGTTAATTCTCGTTACCCTCTGAGGTATATGTTACTATTATCTTCATTATTATAGAGGAAAGACAAGTAGAACTTAACTAAGCAGAGAAAGGACTTTGGGGAAGGCATTTTAGACAGTGGTACAGAGATCCAAAGGTCTAGAGATATGAAAGATGAGCAGGTTAATGGAATTGCAAGCAGTGCAGTGAGGCTAGAACAGCAATAAAAAAAGATTTGTCGGCAAATGGTATGAGATGAAGGTGGAGAAATACGCAGGCCAGATTATTGCTCTCATCCCAGAGGCTCACTGGACCCCCAACTGAACATGGCCCAGCACGCTCTCTAGCAAAGCTCTGACCATCCACTGCTTTATTTTATTTTTATTTCTTTAATTTTCCATAAGTTATTGGGGTACAGTTGGTATTTGGTTACATCAGTACATAAGTTCTTCAGTGGTGATTTGTGAGATTTTGGTGCACCCATCACCCGAGCAGTACACACTGCACCATATTTATAGTTTTCTATCCCTTGTCCCCCTCCCACCCTTCCCCTCAAATCCCCAAAGTCCATTGTATCTTTCTTGTGCCTTTGCATTCGCATAGCTTTGCTCCCACATACCAGTGAGAATATACGACATTTGGTTTCCCATTCCTGAGTTACTTACTTTGAATAATAGTCTCCAATCTCATCCAGGTCACTGCAAATGTTGTCATTTCATTCCTTTTTATGGCTGTGTAGTATTCCATCATATATAAATACCAGTTTCTTTACCCTCGTGTTGATTGATGGGCAGTTGGGTTGGTTCCATGATTTTGCAATTGTGAATTGTGCTGCTATAAACATGAGTGTGCAAGTATCTTTTTCAAATAATGGCTTCTTTGCCCCTGGGTAGATACCCAATAGTGGGATTGCTGGATCAAATGGTAGTTCTGCTTTTAGTTCTTTAAGGAATATCCACACTGTTTTCCGTAGTGCCTGTACTAGTTTACATTCCCACCAGCAGTGTAGAAATGTTTTTTGATCACCACATTCACGCCAACGTCTGCTGTTTTTTGATTGATTATGGCCATGCTTGCAGGAGTAAGGTGGTTTCAATTTGCATTTCCCTGATCATTAGTAGTGTTGAACATTTTTTCATATTCTTGCTGGGCATTTGTATATCTTTTTAGAATTGTCTATTCATGTCCTTAGCCTACTTTTTGATGGGATGGATTGTTTTTCTTCTTACTGATTTGTTTGAGTTAATTTTAGATTCTGGATATTAGTGTTTTGTCAGATGTATAGATTGTGAAGATTTTCTCCCACCCTGGATTGTTTCTTTACTCTGCTGACTGTTCCTCCTGCCCTGCAAAAGCTCTTTAGTTTGATTAGGTCCAGGCTACTTATCTTTGCTATTGTATTTGCTTTTGGGTTCTTGGTTGGGAAATCCTTGCTTAAGCCAATATCTAGAAGTATTTTTCCAATATTATATTCTAGAATTTTTGTAGTTTTAGGTTGTACGTTTAAGTTCATAATATATCTTGAGTTGAATTTTGTATAAGGTGAGAGATGAGGATACAGTTTCATTCTTCTTCATGTGGCTAGCCAATTATCCCAGCACCATTTGTTGAAAAGGGTATCCTTTCCCCACTTTATATTTTTGTTTGCTTTGTTGAAGATCAGTTGGCTGTATTTGAGTTTATTTCTGGGTTGTGCATTCTGTTCCATTGGTCAATGTGCCTATTTTTATACCAATACCATGCTTTTTTGGTGACTATGGCTTCATAACATAGTTTGAAATCAGGTAGTGTGATGCCTCAATATTTTGTCTTTTGCTTAGTCTTGCTTTGGCTATGTGGGCTCTTTTTTGGTTCCATATGAATTTTAGAATTGTTTTTTTTCTAATTCTGTGAAGAATGAAGGTGATATTTGGATGGGGATTGTGTTGACTTTGTAGATTGCTTTTGGCAGTATGCTGCTCATTTTCACAATATTGAGTCTACCCATCTATGAGTATGGGATGTGTTTCCATTTGTTTGTGTTGTCTATGATTTCTTTCAGCAGTGTTTTGTAGTTTTCCTTGTAGAGGTCTTCTGACTCCTTTGTTAGGTATATTCCTAAGTGTTTTATTTTATTTTTGTAGCTGTTGTAAAAAAGGTTGAATTATTGACTTGATTCTGCTCAGTCACTGTTGGTGCATAGAAGAGTTACTGATACATTAATGTTGTATCCGGAAACTTTGCTGAATTCTTTTTATCAGTTCTAGAAGCTTTCTGGAGGAGTCCTTAGGGTTTTCAAGGTAAACGATCATATCGTCAGCAAATAGTCACAG